AGGAAAGCAAGGCCCAGGATCCAGGAATATGTCAGTGAAACACACAGGAAACAGGCAAACGAAAAGAGGAAAGGCTGGGACAGCAGCCATGTTTGTTATGATCCGGATCTATCTGCACTTTGCACCTGAAACAACAGAACAAAAAAAAGGACCACAGTGAAACTTCCCTGACTGTGTACTACAGTGTTACACGTGGTATAGATTAATTGAACAAAAATAGGAGGGTATTTGCTTCCTAAAAGAATGTGTGAGGTCATAAAAGGATATTCTGCATGAAAACTCAGTGGGAAGTTTTCCTGCATGCTTCACTCAGTCAACCTGCTTGTGTTTGTTTATAAAGTTCTTTGAAATGTGCAGAGTTTGCCTCAAAGCGCTCTGATTCATCCCTCCGAGCTTTACTGAGAGCAAAGCGGGAGCTCGCAGACTGGAAATGAATTCCTGCATTCCAAAGCAAAGGACATGGACTTCTGGAGCACATTCTAAGTTTTAACTCAGGGAAGCAAGTAATCCACAACAAGAATGCTTTCACTGTCTAGATAACTTGAAGTTTTATCTGATCAGACTTATTTGGAGCTGGAGACAAGCTCACACTGTGTTGTTTGACATTCTAGCTTTACGACATGAAACATAGCAAATGCAGCTCCTTAATGTAAGAAAACAGTTTTAAACTTAAAGGAGGAATGAGGACAGACCTGTCTACGCATCAAAAACTGTGCAAAAGTCAGACTTAACCAAAAAAACCCTGTGCATTCCTTTCTGCTTTTTTTTCCCCTCTCTCTACTCTTTTTTGTATGTGGAATTATTTTCCAAACGCTGCCCACCCGTGCTCTGCGTGAGGCGTGGGCTTGCAGCTCTCCCCGATGTTTGGATTCTTCTCCTCCGAGCCGAGCTCTGTAATCTCTTCCAGAGAAAGTGCTCGGGTCGAGAGAGGAGACGGTGAAGCAACTGGCAGACATGTCGAGACAATACCGAGCGCGTCATCAATGTGTGGCAGCGGAGATAGCCCACAGCAACACATCATCATCATCATCATCATCATCATCATGAGAACCCCGGATTTTGTTATGGAACACCTTTTTTTCCCCTTCTCTCGCTGTCATTTTTTTAAAATGGTTGTTTTCTATTATGCTCAAATACTTTTTCCATCTCCGTTTTCTGATCTGTACTATTTTCAGCTTATGTGAGGTTTGATGGGGAGTAGAGGATGGGAATTACTCAGTGTCTGATCTCAGCCTGACTGTGGGTTTTGGTTTRGGCTTAAGAGCTGGAATCAGAATGACACAAACCAGACACAAAGATTGYTTTGAATCATGAGAATAAGTAAGAGACCACCAAATGGAGGCCAAGATGTTGGTCGGGAACAGATCATTGTGGCACTCTGCACCTGTCCCACTGGTTACATCCCCTGCACAGATAATGACAGGGTTTGAMCTGCTGGTAAATTTGGGGTCGAAATTTCCAAAACTTTGTCTCAGGTGGGGGAATTTGTCTTTGTAAGCATAACAATGAAAAGAGATTACATAATCACTATTGTGRCCCCTGAGCCGTCAGCTTTTCTTCCATCAAGCCAGCGTACAGTCAACCATCCGACCCAGACAAAAAGAACATTCCAACAATTTAACCAGCAGGAAACCTAGACCCATAGTCACAYCTCATTACGGTCAAACKCATCCGCCTCATCTGTCACCAGCAAAAAGATGATCACGCTACACCCACCCCAGGCTACATCATCCCCAAGTCATTTGACCTCTGACTACGAGCTGACTAAAATCAGACGCATTGCTCATGGAGCTGATTGCACTTCTCCTTTTTTTTTTATTAAAACAAAGTTGTATATGTTCAAGTTGTTACTCAAGTTCGGGTCAAAATCTTAGGAATATGTGACTCATCTTCCCGTCTGTCACAACGTGTGAACAAATGAGCCCGAGCAAAAATTACACCCAAAACTCCAAGGGTCACATCTCAGCATCTGTTTAGTGGCTCATTTAATGAGTCCTTAGTATCAAGCAGGTGGAAAAAAAAGGTCACAAGATTCACACTAATCAGTCGGGTGGTGCTGAATTTACCCACGGTGCCATATTTTAATTCCTAAAATATGAAGAAATAGCATTTTTAAAAAGAGCACAGTCTACTGAAGAACTGAATCCATAAAGATAAAGTGCACTTTAAGCTAGAGAAGCAATAAATAACAATAATCTCATTATGCTATAAAACATAAACAGTTAATTCATGCAGCGGCAGCCAACACATTCCTTAGTGGCAAATTATAAAGCAGCACAAAGCTCCTCTCGTTGTTTCCTTTTATCTTTGTTCAAGCTATTCCCTTTGAGTCAATCCACAGGAGACAACAGAAAAATAAGCCTAACTTAGCAACAGGAAACATCCTTATGTGAATATGTCCTCTGCACAAACTCCACAACAAAGGAGAACAATTAAAGTTATTGTGTGGGAACTATGGTGCAAAAAAAGTGAAAACAGAAACACAATCCTTCAGTAATACATCAGCGCAACGACTATTCATAGTGACGAGAAATACGAGAGGTGGTATTCATATCCCCTGAAGGGGCAAATTTTGCTTTTAGATTCCTTTGAATGGATCTGTTCATCCTGTCCTTACTCAAATTAGTCCCAAGTCCTGCTGAGATGAGCCATTTTTAGGCCCATGTAGCAACAGATGGAGCATTCTTTCTCTATAATAAAGCTGCTGCATTTGCGTTGGATTTATCCTCTGCAAGGAATCCCATCAAAAAATACGGAGCAGTCTGGTGGAAGATTAGACTCAGCAGTAAAGGTGGCGGTGGAGCTGTGATCAGTCATGCCCACCGCTGCAGGTCAGCTAATCGCATGGAGAATGCTAAAAATCCTTGATCCTGGCCCACAGCTAAACTCAGCGGCTTCCTGTTTATTTTTATTTTTACACGGGTTGGCCAAAAAGCACTGTAATTATATTTGCGTGTGTAAACACGACTATAACCCTAAACGGCCCTACAGTGCCTCACCTTCTCTATTTTCTCCTGCTATGATTAAGGGAATGTTTATTACCCACCACCAAAAGAGCAATAATGGTTCTGCGTAGTGTTTGTATTCGTGTTTGCTCTGGTAGTAAAATATCTCATGAGATTTTATTAAAAGTTTCAGATATCAATTATTGGATGTACAGCAGACCTTACCAAACAAAAAAATGGCTACAACTTAGACAATTTTTCAAATATTGACCTAAAGCTCAGTGTTGTTGTAGATGACCATCAGCCTCAACACATATTTTGAGCATGACATATTTGTTTAAAAGCTTGGCATTAACTTTTGAAATAGGGATGCACAATATATCGGCATTAATATCGGTTTGGGCCAATATTGGTCATTTTCTAGAATATCGTATCGGTCCGATATTTAAAACTGGGCCGATATTAACGTCCGATATTGATTTCCCACTTTTTATCTTTAGTTTCTGTTTTGGGAGGGGAGATGGTTGGTTGAGCAGCATCTGTTTGATCATGATTGTGATGTTGACACTGCACAGGAATAACTGAAGTACAGCCATGTCAGAGGTCTGGTTGTTTATTTACGGTATCAAAAAAAAAA